TTATATATTATATATTATTATATTTACAATAGCTTATAAAATACAGGTATCCAAAGTTAACAGATGGGTGAAAATAATAAATAAAGATATTAGCAGGGCCGGCAGATGGCCATGGTGGTTAAGGGCACTGGACTCCCACATGGCCAACCGCAGTTTAAGTCCCGGACCTGGTGGCTTGTTTTCTCACTCTGTCTCTCTCTGGTCAAATGAAAATAAATAAAGTTAAAAAAAAGATATTAGCTGATGAGAAACCACTCTTTTAAATCTGCATGTGGGCAAGATGGCATTAAAGATGATGGACTCCCACATGGCTGACCGTGGTGGTTCAAGTCTCAGACCTGGTGGCTTACTTTCTCACTTTCTCTTTCTCTCTCTCTCTCTCCCTCTCCTCTCTCACATCAAACTAAAAAAATAATAAAAACAAATGGAATTAAATAAATTAAAAAGTCTGCAGGCGGGCTTATTGGAGACAGAGAAAGAGAGAGAGCGATGAGCACCCCCCAGAGATGGCCATGCTGCAATCCCTTTTCCATTCTCCTCTCGGGATTCTGAGTGGGCATAAGCACACACACCTAGAGTATTTTACAGGTCATCCAGTCTAGGACTCGAACCATACAGTTGCCCATGTGGGATCCAGCCACCTTAACCACCACACCACCTGGCTGGCCCAGTAATTTAATCTTTACCCCAAGGTAACAGTTTCCTCCTTCCTTCTCTAACTCCCTCCCTCCCTCACTCTCTCTTGCATATGCTCTATCCTGAATTTAAAAAAAAAAAAAATCATGCCAGGCCCATGTGCATGCATATCCAAAATCCCAAGAGGAGAATGGAGAAGGACTTGTGGCAAGTCAGGGGTTTCTGACTTGGTATATTTATGACAGTTGGACTACTAAATCAAAGGTTCTGAAACCAGTTTTCAACACTGCTTTTTCAACTAGGTTATTAAACATTAGTCGTAAAAATCATTTGCATTGGGACCAGCTGTTAGCGTAATGGCTATGTTGCTGGACTCCCATGTAGTCAACCACGGTTTGACTCCCGGAGCCGGTGGCCTAAACTCACGCTGGGCGCATGTGCATGCATGCCCAAGATCCCGAGAGGAGAATGGAGGAGAAGGGATTGTGGCGTGGCCATCCTCCCTGGGGTGTGATTTCTCACTTTCTCTCTCTCTGTCTCTCTCTGTCTTTCAGGCAAGCACACGTGCCCTGTAGCAAAAATCACTCAAGAAAAAAAAAAAATTTGCATTTATAGACCTGTAAAAACTAGATGAACATTACCTCTTAAAAAAGACCTCTTGGGGCTGGCAGGTGGCATGGTGGTTAAGGGTGCTGGACTCCCACACCCTTAACCATGGTTCAAGTCTGGGACCTGTGACTTGCTTTCTCACTTTCCCTCTCTCTCTCACTCTGTCCCTCTCTTGTCAAATTAAAAAATATAAATAAATAAATGAAGCTAAATAAAAAAATATTATTTTTAAAAAAGATCACTTAACCAATTCTAAGTAGATTCTGAAATACACCAGCTTCGGAAATGATTGCTTTTCTAGGTTTTTGTTTCTGTTTTAACTTCAAAGGGACTGAGAAGAAAAAGCAGCAAAACAACAATTTAAAATTTGACATTTTTGACTATATCTCAAAATTCAAGTTAAAACAACCCACTTTGTTAAAGTTCAAAAGAATCCACTTATCCTTTATGCAGACTCATATCATGTGAACATGAGACGCTGTATGACAACGGACCCAATTTCTTCAAAACTCAATTGTAGGCCAGTTCCATGGCACAGAGGTAATGTTCAATAGAAGCCAGATACCACAAGTTGCCCAAGGTTCAAATACCCAGCCCGGTCACCCAGAAACACGCCTTGCACACACACAAGTACTAAGGCTGGAGGATTGAGGGAGTATTGCAGCATAACTAGATTCTGTGCAGGGAATCCCTCCCTCTCTCCCCTGCCCGACCTCTCTCTCATGTACATGCTATATCTTGAATTCTAAATAAATAAATAAAGTCTAAAAAAATTATTTTTAAGTAAATCTTGGGCCAACAGATAGCAAGATGGTCAAAGTGACTAGATCTCACAGGACCCACAGCGTGGTTTGAGTTCGGGACTTGGCAGCTTGAAAAACACACCAAACACATGCTGTGCATGCACAAAATCCCAACAGAATGGAGAAGAAATTGGGGTGTATCATCCTCCCACCCCCATGCTTTTTCACTTTCTCTGTCTCACATGCCTTATAGCAAAATTTTAAGTCTATTGCATTTTTAAATTAGGGAATTAAAAAAAAGAGAGAGAGGATTTACTCTAGTTTAAGAGAATCGGAGGTAACAGTTAAATGCAACGTGTGTATCTTGTCTAGATTCTGGTTCAAATAAACCAACTATAAAAAAACAATCTTTTGTTTCATTGAGGAAATGTGGTTATTGGCTTACTAGATAATATATTACTGTGGGGCCAGCAGGTGGCATAGTGGTTCAGGTGCTGGACTCCCACATGACCAACTGTAGTTCAAGTCCCAGGCTTGGCAGCTTGCTTTCTCTCTCTCTCTCTCTCTCTCTCTCTCTGTGTGTGTGTGTGTGTGTATCTTTCTGGTCAAAGTGAGTAATAATAATAAATTAATTAATTAGATAAATAATTTTAAAAATATATAATACATTATTGCTATTATTGCTGATTTCACTGGATATGGTAATATGATTCTAAGAAAATATTTTTTAAAAATACATACGAAAAATCAAATGAAACAAATATATTAATGTGTTAATCCAAGCAATGAGCATTTGTTGGCTCATCACACTTCTATTTTTCCGAGTTTGAATAATTTTACATTAACATTATAGTACACTCATCAAAATGACCAGGAGTCTGATACTTTGGCATCATTACTATCCACTTCACAAGGCCAGCAGGTGGTGCGGTGGTCAGGACACTAGATTCCCACACAGCTGACCGTGGTTGGAGTTATGGACCTAGCAGCTTCAAAAATCACACAGGGCATATGTGCATATGTGCCCAAAATCCCAAGAGGAGAATGGAAGAGAGGGGACTATCGGTTGGCCATCCCACCAGGATGGTGACCTCACTTTTCCTCTATTTCTGGCAAGGGCTCACACCCTATGGCAGAAACCTAAAAAGAAAAAAAAAGAAGAAAAAAATATCCAGTTCACTGACCGATTGCCAATTTCTTCCCTGTGTTTCAACAGCGCTTGGTTGGCCATTTCTGGCTCTTCAAACTGCACGTAGGCTTCCCCTGTTTTTCTTCTCCCTCTATAGTCCATCACAAAAGTGATATCTACTATATTCAGTCCTAGAACACCAAAAAAATATTCTAAATCAGTGCTACCAACAGGAACATTTTTTATCCTTAGAATTAACACACTCATTTATGCACTAATAAAATTTTTATGCTGTTTTCCAGTCCCAGTCTTAACGGGAAGAAAATTATTATGTGGCCGAAAGTTATTAATACCTATATACCTATTATTTCCACAACATATAAGGTCCAAGCAGTACATCTAAAACTCACTCTCCCCCTTCTACTATGTTTTTGGCTATGATTATATTGGGTGGTCAGAACAGTCATGACATATTTTTCTGTTTTTTTTTAATGCAAAAATGCATCAAGACTTTTCTTCCTTCTTCATTTTTTTAAGGGGTTTTTGCCTTAGGACATGTGCACTCACCAGGGAGAGAGAGAGACAGATACAGTGAGAGGGAAAGTGAGAAATTACCCCTCGGGGGAAGGCCACACTGCAGTCCCTTCTTTGTTCTCCTCCTGGGATCATCAACATGCACACACATGTGCCCAGTGTGAGTTTCAAGCCATCGACTCCAGGACTCGAACCACAGTTAGCCATGTGGCCGTCCAGTGACATAACCGCTATGTCATCTGCTGGCCCCATGTCATGACTTTTCCATCAACCCAATATATTAGGAGACAAAAGAGACTTACACCAACATTACTGCCAATGGTATACATTTTATGGCCAGGAATTAGAAAATATTTTTAAATCACATAAACTGATACTGTCTTAGGCAAAAACTCCATGTATTATAAGACATTTTCTTGAACAGTAAAACAAAATCTTGTACAATTATTTTGAATTTGATATTCCCCAAAGATCTGCCTGATAGATCACAACACTTATATCTGTAAGAATGAGATATTCAAGTAAAAAGCTCTTCCCTCCAGAACCTAATTTAACTACATGCTGTTTCTAGGAAAAGGCTCATGTGAGGTATCAAAGGAAAGAATGAGAGAAAAAGATACGGGGCCCCAAACATAAAAACTAGCAAAGCACCTGCAAAGAAGTCTACAATGTCTTTCTCATTGCAACTATAAGGAAGTCCTCTCAAACGCACCACACCATCGTTTACCACAGGTGAAGATTTGACCTGTAGGCTCTTCATTAAGGCATCCACATCTTCATTGTTTATCTCATATACTACAAAGGAAAAAAAAAAAAAAGATATGCAACATTTACATAACAAAGGGAGAAGTCAATGTTTTTAAAGAAATCAAATACATTACCACTTGGTGGGCAAAGAATTCACAAACTACGCTCCCCTTTATATATTTATGTGTTTTTGCTATAGGAAGCATACACTCAATGGAGAGACAGAGAGAGGGAAAGTGAGAAATCACCCTCCTAAGGGGAATGGCCATGTAGTTCCTTCTTCTCCATTCTCTCAGGATTTGGGGCACACACATACATGTGCCTAATGTGTTTCTCAGGCTTCTGTGTCCTGGACTCTAACCACAGGGTCGACCATATGGGATTTGGCCCCTTAACCACCATGCCACCTGCTGGCCAATGCAAAGTCAGGTCTTAACATTTATGTACTTGTCATGAGAAAACAAATGACACTTACTGAATATTGACTAATTTGTAAGATAAATTTGACCAACATCCTCATTTTATAAAACTGAGATTATCTCTCTGAATTTAATTTCTACAAGCTGGAAAAAAAAAAAAAAATCCGAAAAAAAAAAAATGCATAATATCTAACTATTGGGTCAGCCCTATAGCACTGTTGTTAAGGTCCAGATCCCACATGGCCAACCAGTTTAAATTCTGGCCCCAGGAGATTGAAAACCATGCCAGGTATGTGTGCGTGCATGCCCCAAATCCTGATGGGATGGAGAAGTGGAGGAAAAGAACTGTGGTGTGGTCATGCCCCACTGGAGACTGCTTTCTCTCCTTCTCCCTCTCTCCATCACTTGAACCCTCTGGCAATAAAACAAAGAGAAAAAAGTAAGAGAAACATAAGATCTAACTACTTCACTACTATTAAAGATCAAATGGAAACGGCCTTGAAAGTATAAATCTAAAGCAATGACCCCAAGAAGCTAGAATCTTACTTGACATACCTTCCACATACCGCTGACCCATGTACATGCGGTGCTTCTCTAAGGCTTTATGCACATCCTGTTCTGACTCCATTTCAATTAAGGCATCACCTCTTCGTTTCCCATCTCTATTTAAGAGGAAGTGTATCCCATTCTCGCCATTGCGGATTCTGCAGTCTAAAAGAATGTGAATATTAAAAATAGAAATTAAGCTTTTAGCTCCATTTTACAAATCACCATACTGTAAAGCAGGAACCAAGGAACCAAAGGGCCTTTCATATTCCTAAAGCTACTCAAATGCTAATGAGGTAACAGTCTCTTAATGTCCCAAGTAGAAACAGAGAATCAAACCTAAGCACATAAGTTTATGACCTGCTAACCAATGAATGGCAAATCAGGCTAAGCCCAACACAAAATGTGTTTGTCCATTCCAAGGTTTCCACAATCATTTTCTAATTACTTCAAGAATTATAATATAGTTGGGTTTATACATACATAAAGACCTTCCTTTAAAATCATATCTATAGGACTTTGGGCCAGGAGGTAGCATAGAGGATAAGGCAGCTGGATCCCACATGGTCAACTGCATGGTTCGAGTTCTGGACCCAGGGACTTGAAAAATCACTTCGGGCATGTGTGTGTGTGTGCCTGAAGTCCCAAGAAGAGAATGCAGAAGGGAAGCATGGCCATCCCCCAGGGAGTGACTTCTCACTCTCCCTCTTTATTTACTTGTTTCTCTCTGGTGAGCATACACACCCTATAGCAAAAACAAAACAAGAAAATGTATCCATAGGATTCTAAGATATCTAAGAGAAAAGAGAAAAAATTTGCTACCATATTTACCTTTTTTTTTTTCATTACCAAAGAAAGACATCTATTACTGCCTATTTATTAGGAATATCAAATATGTGAGTAGCATGTGACTTTATAAAATGTTTGATCCACACAAGGCTATGCACATTAAAGTAGATAATACTGCATTGTCGGAGCATTGTGATGTATTTTTTTCTGTTTTTCTATGCAAACAAGCATCATGACTTCTCTGACAACCCATTAAATTACATCCTCTCACAACTTTTTATGGTAATACCTTCTAAAAGCCTCTTAAGAGAAAAATTAAAAATCACACATATGAAAACAATGGTAAACCTTCCAAACATATCATTGAGAGAACTTTATCACTTGATACTAAGCAATCTTGTATTCTTTTTTAAGAGAGAGATTTTTGCTATGAGGCATGTGAGCTCGCCAGAGAGACAGAAAGTGATAAGATCACCTCCCCCTCCCCCCAGGGGATGGCTATACCACAATCCCTTCTCCATTCTTTCCTCTGGATCTTGGGCATGTATGCACACACGCCCAGTGTGAGTTTTAAGTCACTGGTCCAGAATTCGTACTGCGGTTGACTACATAGGAGTCCAGCAATGTAACTGTTATCCATCTGCTGGTTCCCCATGTAGTTTTAACGTTAAATACTTCTGTTATATTCTAAGTCTTTAAATCTGGTATATACCATAAATGGTACACATGGTGTCATTTGGTAATAAGTAACGTGCCAGAATGAGACAATTCCCAAACCATGAAACTGACATCGAAGAAGATGTCTAAGCCTAGAATGACTTGGATTTTGTAGGACTACCTTTTTCTCAGACAAAATTACATATTATAAACATATATAAACCATACCTGAGAAAAAGTTAAGCACATCTTCTACAGTGCATGACCAGGGCAATCCTTGAGCTCGAATGAGATAAACATCATCCACTTCCTCTCCTAACTTGGATGGAGCCAATTCGTACTCAGGGAGTGTTGGAAGGTCTTCCAGGTAGGTAGTTTTGGACTCCTTCCAAGAGAAATCAAGAAATGTAAAAATATTTCATGACAAAATGTTGACTCCCACAAGCTAACTTTACAAGCCTAATTCACCCTGTTTTGGCTGAAATCTACAAACTTTACAAGTCTAACTCATACTGTTTTGACTTAAAATATACATTCTAAACCAATAACCAGAGACATCCTAATGGTTTAGCAGGACATATGTTCTATTCAAAGATTTTTTTTTTTCTTTAACTCATCACTCCCAAATTCTGTCTAAAAATAGTGTTTTAGTTAAGGCATACAAAAAAGGTCCCCCAGTGCACCAGAGTAGGTTTTAGTTAAGCCATAAAAAGAGGTCCCCCAGTGCACCAGAGTGGGTTCTCATCTCTAAGACCTTATCATCTAGAGTAAAATGACCATACAAAACAACCTGTGTTAAATGATATAATTAAGATACAAGTGAAATAATTAAGATACAAAATACTACAGGAATGCAAAACAGAATACTAACCGAAGAACCAGGATGTGATAGGAGATGAGACTGGAAGGAGGGAAAGAATTCTGACATGGATATGTAAAAGATAGGGCATTTCAGTCTGAGGTAAAAGCAGTGTGAACAAAGGCTCTTTGAAATGAATCCCATTTGTCTAAATTGTAAAGCCTAATTAGGAGCCAAAGAAGATGAGCTAGCAAAAAGAATTTGGAACCATATAGCAGCAGGCCTTGAGTGTTGGACTCAATCTGTATCTTTCATTGGGCACCAGGAAATTAGAGACAATGAAGAGTGAGTCAATCCAGATGGAAGGATGCAATGGAGAATGGAAGGATGCCTTGGAAAAGCTAATCTGTTATCCAGTACACCAAAACAACTGAGTAATAGGAAAGATCATAAAGTGAAACTGCAGCAGTGTCAGGTAACAAAGACTTGAGAGCTATCCAGAGAGTTTTATTTTCTAAGACTAAGCAAAACTGGAATTTAATAAGAACTGGATAAGCACTATAACCACAATGTGGGAAAACCACCAGGCTGTAAAACTTATACTATACTTTGCTAAGAACAGAGTACCTGTGTACCATCTACCATGTAGCCTTAATGTCTAATTTTAAGGAGTTAATATATATAAGCACAGTATTTAACAGAGTAGATGCCCAACCCACTATCTATTATTGTCGGTTTCACAGAAAAAAGCAACTGAAGGGGCCAGTAAGTGGCTTGGTGGTTAAGGCACTGTACGCCCATAGACCCAACCATAGTTCAAGTCCAGGACCTGGCAGTGTGCTTTCTCCCTTTCCCTCCCTCCTTCCCTCCCTACTTCTCTCTCTGGTGAATTCACTACCCTGTAACAAATTTTAAAATAATAGTAATTATTATTATTCATTTAATTAAATAATTTTAAAGCAACTGAGAAGAGAAAGCCAGCTCACAAAGACTTATTAGATATTTAAGTCAATTTTCCTTGTTTTCCCAGAATTCCGTAAGCATTACAAGCATTTACAGAAAAGGGTAGCTGAAAGTATTCGGCCAGGATTCAAATCAATTAGCTCAGCCACTGGCAGACAACAGCCATGCTGATCAGCCTCCCAGTTTCTATAAAGTTCAAGGAGAAGCACAAACTGAATTGAGATAAATATGACCAAGGCATCAAGGGCTGGGCAGTCAAAAAGAGTGCACTCTGCAGATGCCAGATGAGCAGGAGAGAAAAGAATCAGATGCAAAGCAGACTATTTGCAATCTGGGTTCTTCAAAGTACATAATGACTTTTTCTTTTTTTTAAGGAAAGGGAAAAAAAACACTATAGATTTACTCCTATCTAGGACCCCAAATTGTGGCTTCGACCCTCTCGACCCTCAGCGCCGCCTCCCCGCTACTCCCCAGACCTAAGACTCCAAACTGTTCTCCCAGTCGACAGTGACCCACAGTCCTAAGGGACCTTCTGTCAGAGGAAGTGGAATTGCAGAGGTGACCTTCAGTAAAGTGGGGCAGTTCGCCTTTCTCGGGGGGAAGGGGAGGAGAGGAGAGGGCTCGCTGGGGACCAAGCGCCTTCCCCGCCAGCCAGCCCAGTAACTGTGCGCGAGCCTCGGTATCCGCTGGGATCGCGGCGCCGGGCCGCCAGGGCCTGCTGCCCGCTACACCGACAGTCCTCAACCTCGGCCGGGTCGGGCCTCCCAACCTCACCACCGCAGGCGGAGAGCCAAAGGGACGCGGGGCGGGGGCGTCAGCAGCCTCACAAAACCTACCATGGGGCCGGCGGGAAACAAGGCCTCAACATTCACCCAGCCACACTTACACTGCCCCACTGACCAGACGCTCGAGGGGAAAACAAAACAAGGAGACACCCCGAGGCCAGAGACAGCGTCCCCTGCGCCGGGGCCCAATAGGAAGACGGGGAGGAAGGCGAGCAGGGGGTGCGGCGCGCGTCGCGGTCCCCGGGCGCGGCTGCGAGGCGCACGCGGAGGGCGCGTGCGCGCGGCCGG